GCCGTAACCACCTGGCCATGCCGGGCCCCAGTAGATATAACACCTAGTACAACAATAGTTTGTACAACTGTAGATGGCAGGTTGGAGTTCATAAACCCAGTTGAAAGCAAATTGCAACCCTCATTTTCTGAGGTATCAGGTGGTATTCCACAGTATAGTCTAAGCACTACATTTTGTGATTGTTTCCTGATTTACTTCATGACTTAAGATGGTTATGTAATTGAAAAATCAATGACTGAAAGGGCGTTGCAACCTTCACTTTCCAGGACATTGAATGAATATTTTGATGTAAAATGTCTTCCAACATTTCTAAAGAATCACTCATCTAATCTTGCTGAGCAGTAGGAACTTTAGAGAATGTATCATCTGGTACTCAATAGATTCTCCCCTGGTTACATGGATATATATGAGATTCTACATCCAGTGATGGAGCTGTATTTCTTCTGAGTGTAAGTTGATGTACATTAGTAAAAGCATGAGCATTAGTTTTGGCTGGTGAGGACTTTAACTGAAAAGTCTAAATTTGACTAAATTCTTTGCTTTGTTGTTGTTTGTTATTAAGCAGAAAGATACACAAAGGACTATCTGTGTTCTGCCCATCACGGGTATCGAAACCCGGTTTCTAGCAGGATAAGTCCATGTACACACCGTTTTGACACTGAGGGGCTGTTTGTTTTGTCATGCCTGAAATAAAGACAAGTTGAGTTATGGCTCCTGGATGGAAGCAAAGTTTCTGTGAAGGTAACCCAAAAAGGTTACTCAAGTAATTTATGCAGGAGACAGAGGCAGTCTGTTATAAGCTACTAGAGTATGTGACAATGTATAATGGTGATATTTGTGTATAGCAATATATGTATATAAATAAATATGTGTGTGATTTTGCATGTATGTATATATATATTACATGAATGCATTTCTGAGTGTTGTATAACGAGAATCAATCAATTAAATGAAGAACACAACAGTTGGCAACATGTGTGGGGAGACAAAGAATTTAATCTCGATGTTAATACTTTGTGATATAACATTAACTATCATATCTGACCTGTAAGGTTTTATTTGAAAATACTGTACACCTGCTATTTTTATTAATGTTAGTATGGATCCAGTATACAGATAGAAGGGAGAGGGGGAATGAGGCTTGGTTAGAGAGTAAACCATGTTATCTGTTGTCAAGCGTGGATGACAGAGGGCAGCATGACTAAAGGTAATAGTCAGTTGGAGACACAATGAGGCCTGGGGATTGGGGTATTCTCAGGCACTAGGATATATCTCCTACAGGCAATATAGAGCATGAATACATCAAACCTGCAGAAATTATATCTGATTAATGTATAAAGTTATGACCCTTCACTAAACAATTTTTTAGAGCAGGTCATTGTTATAAAATTTAGCTATGGCCTTTTTAACCTATGCACATAGCTGAACTTTTAACCAATTGAAATTCATTTGAAGTTACATTTTTAGTATGAACTTTAATTATTATGATCAATTATCTTTGTCTTGAACAATCAATGGTTATCCTTCTTTGACCATACACCCAGGAATTCTGCCATAATGAAGGATTGGACTACATCAGTGAACCTCAGACTCAAGGAACCTGTGTAATGCTCACCATGGCTGAGCCCAAGGATGAAGATGCATTGCTGACTGATACATCAGACATGGAAAAGCTCATCTCTCTATTTTTGGGTTACTCCTAAAATCTTCGTAGGCGCTTAGCCACCATCTGCAGCAGTAAGACCCATGGATATCAAACCTCTATTGGAAAACTGATCATGAAGAGAGTAGCAGTGACCACTTCTTTGTTCACCCAAGCCTCCAAGCTGCCCAGTAGCTGTCCATACTGCATCTCCTAAAATCTTCGTAGGCGCGTAGCCACCATCTGCAGCAGTAAGACCCATGGATGTCAAACCTCTATTGGAAAAACTGATCATGGAGAGAGTAGCAGTGACCACTTCTTTGTTCACCCAAGCCTCCAAGCAGCCCAGTAGCTGTCCATACTGCATCGCCTGATGCCACCAAAGGAGGAGCCAGTGCCAGTGAGGAAGAAGTGTGACATGCTCATCAGATGGCTCATTGGAGTGTACAGTGTATCATCACATTGATGTCACCAGGTATGTTCTCGCCTCCAACAGGCACACTATATTTCTATGCTGAAGAAACTCTTTCCAGAGTTCGGATCCTCTAAAGAGTTGATCAGAATGTGGGTAGGTTGGAGCAGCATTGGACCTTGGACATGCCAGTTGCAGCTGAGGTTAACAACCCAGAGCAATGTCTCTACTGTTGCCACCACCACCATGATAGTGATGCAAGTGAGTCAGCCAGCTCGTGAACTAACAGCACCACTACCACAATGGAATTATACAGTAAATGAGAGGGCAATATGTCAGGAATGGTCATTATCCCGACCATGGAGATGAACAATAGGATATCTATTTCGGCAGTTAGTGAGACACACAAAAAAAGAGATCACATGACTAAACTTATAAAGAGCCGAAGGTGGAACTCCCAATAAAACCACCTAAAATGTGTGCCAGGAGAAGGCTACGGACTAGATAGACCAAGGCTTGGGCTGTTTACGGTATATGTATATATAATTAATTTAATTGCATTGTACAGTAATGAAAATATTTTGTGTTTGATTTGGTACATAATTGTTCTTAGCGTTTTTTATTTTAATGTTTTGACAAATTCGATTTATGCACTTCGACTATGGTGTCTTTGTTGAAAGGTATTTTTGTAATGTGTAATTGAAATTGTATCATTGTTAAAGGGCCCAATTTGTGACCTAAATATCATTGTTCAAGTTATTTTATATGTGTGTGCGTACTTCCAGTCTTTGTTAAATGGTTATTTCATTGTTTAAAGGATTTTATTATTATACATTATTGTTTAAGACTTGTTTGTTTGTTTTTAATCACAAAGCTACACAATAAGCTGTCTGTGCTGTGCCCACCACGAGTATTGAAACCTAGTTTTTTGTGGCGTGAGCACTCAGACTTATCGCAGAGCCACTTGGGGGGAGGTTTGTTTAAGAGTTTATCATTTTTCATAAGGTTATATAGTATTGACTTGCAAATGGTTTTCTTTTTGTCTTGCTAATGGTTTCATTATGTGTTATGCTTTTGACTCATGGTTAAAGGGTTTTAAGTTGCTCTTCTTGTTTCAGGATTGTGTCGTTTATTTTGGGTGTAGAGGTGTACATGAATGAAGAAAATTTATCTTACTTTTTGACCATGCAGTTTGTCCATAACACATTGTCCATAAAACCATTAAGTTGACTTTTTTTTCTAACTGCCTTTGTTCCTTTGTTATTCTCTACAGATTATACTTGCTTCACCTATACGTGGATTGCTGTAATGCTGCACATTATGCAAGAATGTAGACAACAGCACTGTTCTTAGCTGATAGGGCAGATGACTTGTAGAAGTTACAGCTTGTCTTATGTTGAATGAGAATGACCAGTTACGTGGGTAGTGTTAATCTTTTTGGGTAAATTGAACGTTTCCCATTATACAAGAAACGGTAAATTTAAACAGTAATACATAGGCTCTTAAATGAGTTGGTCAACTGGAAAACATCGTGAGAAAAGAAGTCAGTTGATCAATTCATGAATTCAAATGGAAGGCAACTGTCCAGTGTCCTATCACAGGTATAAACACTGTGTTTTGCCCTTGAATAAATAAAGATCGTTCTCATTTTGTATTACACATTCTTTGCTTCAACTCAGTCAGTTTAGTTAAATTCATTAATGTTTCGTAATATATCCTGGTGATCCTCCCATTATAAAGTGGACCTACGTTATACTCTTTACGAAAATCAGTTTAACCTGATAATACCACAAGACTAAAACATGTCAAACGATTAATTATCCGACGTGAAGTTTCATTCTCATTAAATATATTGTAGAAAGTAGTTAACTATGGGAACTAGAAGTTTAAACTTCATCTTATAGGGTTATTGGTTCAGGAACATCAGATGTAACATTATCCTGTAAAATAAGGAAAACAAGGATAAGATCGTAGACAAATTGTTACACAGTTATCAGTGCTCTCAAATGGTGGAAAATTTTATGTATATCAGTCACCATCAGCTTGTTCAGATTTACATGATTTTGCTTTAAGTTTGACCAATACCGATGGATATGAAAGATTCGAACTTTCATTCTAAACGTCCTAATGTACCTTCCATTTTACTGTACTGATGTATTATTATTTGAAAGATCATGAAAGAGTGTACACAAATCATATTTTCAAATTAGAACGTCATGTATATTTCTTATACGAAACTAAGGATACACATAAACTGTACTGATGTTTTCCATTATATAGATGATGAAACATGTCACGTTCCTAGACAACATGGAAACTGTAACATTCCAAACACACTTTTCATTCCAACGATGAAGAAAATAACGAAAGCTGTAAAGCGGGACAAAGGCCCTATAAACATATATAAAAACTACAGAACTCACAGCCTAAAAAAATGTGGTGGCCATGCCAATCGTCCAAAAAATGAGAAATACGTCCCAAAAATATATAGTGCAAGATTTTTCATGTTGACATATTCAGCATTTACGAGCTTACATATCATCTTGAAGGATAATAAGAAAAATACAAACGTAGTTTCTATTTTAATATGACTTATTTCATTTCTGCTACATACTGTTCATTTCCTCCTGTTTGCCCCCCCCCCCAGTGCCACAGTGGTATGTCTACAGACTTATACCACTAGAAACCGGATTTCGAGACCCGTGGTGGACAGATCACAGATATCCCTTTGTGTAGTTCTGTGCTTAATATCAAACAACAACAATATCCCACTGTTCTTTTTTTTGTATGCAAATTGTTTACTATTGTTTATTACAGATTATATCACATTTCTTGTGTAATTACCATTTTATATTTTTGTACCTCTAGCTTACTAAAGATGGAATTCTGAAGATCTCGAAACGTCTAATAATGTTTGTATGTAATTACGTTCACATTTTATTTTACTATTAAATTAAGTTTTCCCAAAATGAATTGATTACTAGAACCTTGAAGGATTTATTTCTAAAATTACCACCTTCCCAGACTTATTGCTAAGTTTTGATCATTCATACATTTTAGAACTGGCCAAGGGACTGTTTCAAATTTCATACGAAATATATATATATCATTGGATATAGAATCTCTTAATAGGGAAATTTTTCGCGAAATTCAACAAACAATCATCATTTCGACACCCATAATTTATTATTATTATTATTTTCACCAATGGTAGAAAGTTTTATTATCTAATAGAAGTTGTGAGAAAAAAAAGTGTCATTCTATTTAACTGGATATCCGAAATTCTCATCGTTTTATGTAAATATATATAAAATATCTTCTAAAACGTATTGTTCTACCACTGATTCCTTTAGTGAACATTGCGATCTGAATAACCTTGTAAATCAAAAACAAATTTGAATATTCTTTTCCCCAACCTTTCAATCTCATTATTAATTTACTTTACCTTTCAAGAAACTGATTATTTTTAGCCTTTTATTTTTGATTCAACCAAATTATAACATTTTCTGACTGAGATAGTTTAATATTTTAATAAATAGTTAACGGTTTCCCTATATTGATAATTAAAATATTCACCAAACACTGACAATGGATTTTAATGCAAACATAAGACAATTTAAAAAGGAACCTCAGTTTATAAGAACCTTCCTCATTTCAATCAGGCTCGGCGTTATAATGTGACGGTCAATCTCACTATTCGTTGGTAAAATAGTAGCCCAAGAGTTGGCGGTGGGTGGTGATGACTAGCTGCCTTCCCTCTAGTCT